CGGGGTACAGTCTGGTTTTACATTTCGGTTTTGGTGTGGACGGAATTGCAGCTAAAATCCAGTAGTCAACGTGGGGAAGGGTGCACACTTGGTTGACACGAAAGGTGGGACATTTCAAAGTGGAGTTTCATCCTAGACCAAAGATAAAGCCAAAACTATAAAACTGCATAAGCAAAAGGAGAATAACCTAGGTGACCTATAGGCCTAGCAATGCGTGTTAGATACAAACCACGGAGGCGCCCAATCGTTGAGTGAGGACTTTACGAAAGTTAGGAACTTCGGCTACTGCCGAGAGGGTGGCGAGGACGGAAGGACACCGGTGACCTGGGGGACGTCCACAGAGCGGGTGTCTGGGAAGGGCGCACACCCCCGGCATCCAAGAGCTGGCAGCCCAAACAATACCGAACACAAGACAACCGACGCATAGACGGGCAGAAGAGCGAACAGACACCTCCCAGGCGGACACACAGACAACGGACGAGCGTAAGCGGCCCGCGCACGCACGGGCTGAGGAATGGTCACATTAGAACGAGACGCGCGGTCACCGCCGGCCTGCGGGAACGGTCGAAATGACGCGGCCCCACAGCGGCGGGCGTCGAGGAAGCGCAGCGGCGGGCGCGCGCGCCGTGGGCGGGAGCGCGCAATGGCACAGCGCCTGCGGGAGGTGCGGGGCGGCGTCGCGCGGGCCGCGCGCGTTCTCACCACGCGGTGCAGCCACCGCGCCTCGGCCCCTGCCCGGCTCGCCCGGAGACTTCGTGCCCCCCAGAGCCTGCGGGCACGGTCGCGTCCGACGGCGACTTCATCCCGGATCACCCAGCCCTGGACGCAGCGGCCGTCGGCGGGCGGGCGGGTCCGCGGACTGCGGTTCCCTGGACCCCGCGAAGGGAACATGCGCTGCGGGGCCTCGGGGCGACAGGGGCGCAGCGCAGACGCGCCTCGTGCGGGAAAGAAGCCGGGCTGTGAACGCCGCGTTCCTGACGCTCAGGTGGCAAAGCTGCGGAGGGACAGGTGGGGGCTGCCGAGCGCTCACGGAGAGAGGAATGGGGGGATGCGGGGGGTGAAGCGCAGGATATCAGGTGCTGACACGTCCCGCACGACACAGCGGTGACGTGGGTGTGACACCGCGCTCTCACCCGCAGTGCGTCACAGCGCAAGGAGCGAGACTCGGTGTTTGCAGATGTTAGAAAAACCCGTTTAGCAGGTCAAGGTTCCAGGACGGAACGCAGAAAGAGCGTGACAAAACCGACCCGCTGCTCCCGTGGATAAAACGTCCCCACTGAAGGGCGCCGTGGGCGTGTCCGCAGCGGGAGGAGGAGCCGGGGCCTGAGAGCCCGGGTGGGTCGGTGCTGTGGCCCGTGGTGGGGCGCGGTGGAACCAGGCAGGGAGCACGGGGTGGCCTGAGCAGCCGGGGGTCCCAGAAAGATGCGCTCACACCCGCTCTCTCACACTCACACCCGCGCACACCCATGCGCACTCACTCACACCCATGTATACCCGCTCACACCCATGCACACCAGCTCACTAACACACCCATGCAAGCCCATTCACACCCGCTCACTTCTGCTCACACCCACTCACACCTGCTCTCTCACACTCACACCCGCTCACACACATTTGCACACTCACACTCATGCATACCCGCTCACACCCATGCATACCAGCTCACTAACACACCCATGCACACTCATCCACACCCGCTCACATCTGCTCACACCCGCTTACACCCACTCTCAAACTCACACCAGCTCACACCCACTCTCTCACACTCACACCCGCTCACACCCATGCACACCCATCCACACCGGCTCACATCTGCTCACACCCGCTCACTCACACTCACACCCACACACATCCACTTACACTCACCCCCATATACACCCACGCACACCAGCTCACTTGCACACCCACGCACAACCAATCACACCCACTCCCAACGTGTGGGAAACTTATCCTAATGTGGTCTCAGCCTATAAAATACCTTAAACGGCCCCCATAACAGACGCCACCAGAAACCACGCGCTCTCTCACCTTTGCGGAGGGGGCTACGATCGCAGGGTTACAACAGCCGCAGATGAAATTGCTAAAAGTATAACCAACACCTAATAAATAAATCTGTAGCAAAGTGAACCAAAAGAGTCTTATGATCAAATGAGATATCACGCTAATAAATTATGATTTATGGTCCCACATTCTGGAGGACAGACGCAGGACCAGGGTGGGGTGGGGGAGGCCTCGGAGGACACCCAGGGTGTCCAGTTCTGTATCTGCATCACCCCAATCTCTGCCTCCGTTTCCACGTGACCTCGTCCCTGTGTGCGTGTCTGTGTCCCATGTCGACGTTTCGTGAGGACAGTCACGGTGGATCAGGTCCACCTCAATGGCATCATCTTCACCTGTGACACCGGCAGGGAATCTGTGTTCATACAAGCTCAGGTTCTGAGGTCTGGGTCAGGAGGGTTCCGGCAATTCCCATATGTGAACAAGCTCCTGGGAAACCACAACTTACACACAGTCAACCGAGAGGAAGTAGAAAACCGGAATAATTCTATTTCAAGTAAGTGGAATCCGTTATTGAAACCTTCCTGCAAAGAAACCCCCCGCCAAGATGGCTTTGTCAGTGAATCCTAAGACCCATAATAAATGATGACTACGAATTTTGAATTTTATGTACATTTTCTAGTGAAAAGACAAAGTGGAAGTGTTCTGCATTTTTTGTGAGATTATGGTAACTTTGATCCCCAAAACCTTCAAGGCCTGTACAAGAAAAAAAAAAATTAAACCAATCTTTGTCGTGCACATAAATGCAAAAATATCGTGTTTCCCTCCAAATAAGACCTGTCCATACAATAAGCTCTAGCAGGGTTTCTAGGCATTTGTGCAATAGAAGCCCTACCCCGAAAATAAGACCTAGTGACCGGCGTGGCTGCACAGCGCATCTGCACAACCCGTGCTTTTTGTGGAGGAATGGTAAAGAAGACGAGCAGCCCTTCTCATCTGCCCCGTGAGAGCTCTATGGCTCCACATGAGAGATCGGGGCCGATGGTTCTAAAGGAAATAGAGTCGCAAGAAATTCAGGATGGAATTCGGGGTTTGGAGAGTGAGGATGATGTTCCAGAAGAAGATGACTTCACTCTATTTGAATCAATGTAGATTGTTGTACTGTACTTAAAAAAATTAACACATCCCCTGAAAATAAGCCCTAGTGTGTCTTCTTGAGGAAAAATAAATATATAACCCTGTCTTTTTTGGGGGGAAACACCATACTTAATAAAATATTAATTAATTAACTGTACCAATATTATAAAAGGTACTATGTTATGATAAGTAGAATTGATTCCGACTTTTCAAGGGTGCTTTAACATTCAAAACCCAATGAATATGATTCATCGCAGAACAGAAAAAAAGAGGAGAATTAATATAATCATCTCATCTATTGCAGAAAAATCATTTGACACAATTCCACACGAATTCATAATGATCTGCTTTCTTAACCGCTAGATGGCGGTGTCCCCTCCCTCCCAGTTCTGACAAAAAAGATGTTTCCAGGTAGGGCCTAATATCCCTCCCGGGGGGCAAAATCACTCCCAGTTGAGAACTACAGCAGAATTTTAAAATTTAGCCAATTATGAGTAAGAGTAAATGTTCATATCTGATTTTAAAGATCTATAAGTCTTACCACAATCATTAAAGCAAATGTTAAAAATGTTATCCTAAAATGAACAAGGCCTAAGTGCACTCGATCACTAGGGCAATTAAACATTGAACGGGGAGCCAAGCCGGCTCAGTGAGGCAAGAAAAGGAAATGACATTCTCAGTGTTGCAAAGGAGGAAATCAATTGC